GTTGGACATGAACTGGTAGAGTTGTGGTGAACGGTAACTCCTCGATCTCGGCCGATGGCAGGGCAATTTCAGTTGGAGTCTCCGGGGCCGCCATGTTGAGGGCAGTCTGCAACAAGAATGCGTTAGATAAGTGTTCTTGTTCTTGTTGTTGTTCTTGTTGTTGTTGTTCTTTTTTTTCTTCTTCTTCTTCCTTTTCTTCTTCTTCTTCCTTTTCTTCTTCTTCTTCCTTTTCTTCTTCTTCTTCTTCTTCTTCTTCTTCTTCTTCTTCTTCTTCTTCTTCTTCTTCTTCTTCTTCTTCTTCTTCTTCTTCTTCTTCTTCTTCTTCTTCTTCTTCTTCTTCTTCTTCTTCTTCTTCTTCTCTTCTTCTTCTTCTTCTTTCTTCTCTTCTTCTTCTTCTTCTTCTTCTTCTTCTTCTTCTTCTTCTTCTTCTTCTTCTTCTTCTTCTTCTTCTTCTTCTTCTTTCTTCTTCTTCTTCTCTTCTTCTTCTTCTTCTTCTTTCTTCTTCTTTCTTCTTCTTCTTCTTCTTCTTCTTCTTCTTCTTCTTCTTCTTCTTCTTCTTCTTCTTCTTCTTCTTCTTCTTCTTCTTCTTCTTCTTCTTCTTCTTCTTCTTCTTCTTCTTCTTCTTCTTCTTCTTCTTCTTCTTCTTCTTCTTCTTCTTCTTCTTCTTCTTCTTCTTCTTCTTGGCATCAGATAGTTCTCGGAACTCACGAACTCTCCAGCCCTGTTTAAATAAAAGGGAGTACAGGAGCTGAGTCAACGCGAGTCAGTTCGTCCTACCCGCTTTCATTTAATGCAACACATTGCACTCTGTTTTTTGCGCATGACTCTCTGGTTATCATTATCATTCTTACCATCATCATCCTCCACCTCTTCATAAACATCCTCATCATCATCATCCTTATTTTATCATCATCATCATCATCCTCATCATGACACCATCGCATCATAAAGGGCTTCTTCGACTGAAGTCAGCAATCATACTCTCCAAGAATCTGCGATCTCCAGAAACTTGTAACAGCCCGTCTGCTTAAACCATGTGGTGTGTCTGTGTGTGTGTGTGTGCGTGTTTGTGAGTGTGTGTGTCTCTGTGTGTGTGTTTGTGAGTGTGTTTGTGTCTGTGTGTGTGTCTGTGTGTGTGTTTGTGGGTGTGTGTGTGTCTGTGTGTGTGTTTGTGAGTGTTTGTGTGTTTGTAAGTGTGTGTGTGTGTCTGTGTGTGTGTGTTTGTGAGTGTGTGTGTGTGTGTGTGTTTGTGAGTGTGTGTGTGTCTGTATCTGTGGAGCTCTTGGAGACAGTGATGCCCACTGCCGGTCTCACAGGTGATGACACAATAAATGCAGAAGAGCCCAACAAAGCTCTTGAAGACTGGTTCTCTGGATTGATGACATAGGTGTCTGCAATTGTCCACTGGTCCTGGAACTCACAAACAAGCTCTTGCCATGTTGAGGTGGTGGCACAACATACAGGACTTTTGGGATACTCTTGGTGCCTAGAATGGTATGGGTTGGAGGTGGTTGCTGGACTGTGATTCGTCTGCCTGATCTCTAAGGAGGTATCATCCCAAGCTTAGGAAATCTTCCAAGATAGAAATGGAACTTTGAATGCACCAATTTCTCCATAGACTGTATACACGTCTAGACACTTTGGGATCAGGCGAAAGAATGTTTTTTTTTTCAAAATCAAACTAGCGTCTCTAGGAAAGAAGTCCCCTGTATTTCTGCCTAAGGAGTAAACCGGTTTACAGGAATTTCTAAATAAAATACCAGAATTAGCCAACGTACAGTTGCAAGTTTGAAAATAAAGATTTATCAAAGCAACTAGAGGGCCTAGAAATGAATATTTTACCAGATAAAGGAATAGAACAATATAAGGGACTATATACTTTTCCGGACGGGTTCGAGTTTGAAATTTGACTGTCGCGACTCGTCCATTGTGTAGGTTGGCTGCTCACCTCACGACAAATAAAATGGACACGGAGCGTGGGGAAGATCACATAAAATATGCAAGGACGTGACAAAGTACGGCCGTAAAGACATGAACAACTCAGAAAGCGCTTTCAAAAAGAGCACATTACAGATCTCAACAGTTCTCCCCTCCCCCCCCCCCTTTTTTTTTTAATCCCTACACACACACACCACACACACACACACACACACACACACACACACACACACGCACACACACATCGACTGGACAGTCGGGGAAAGAAGAAAAAAGAAGATAAAGAAAAGGAGGAAAGAAAAAGAAGAAGAAGAAGAAAAAGAAGAAGAAGAAGAAAGAAGAAGAAGAAGAAGAAGAAGAAGAAGAAGAAAGAAGAAGAAGAGAAGAAGAAGAAGAAGAAGAAGAAGAAGAAGAAGAAGAAGAAGAAGAAGAAGAAGAAGAAGAAGAAGAAGAAGAAGAAGAAGAAGAAGAAGAAGAAGAAGAAGAAGAAGAAGAAGAAGAAGAAGAAGAAGAAGAAGAAGAAGAAGAAGAAGAAGAAGAAGAAGAAGAAGAAGAAGAAGAAGAAGAAGAAGAAGAAATAGAAGAAGAAGAAGAAGAAGAAGAAGAAGAAGAAGAAGAAGAAGAAGAAGAAGAAGAAGAAGAAGAAGAAGAAGAAGAAGAAGAAGAAGAAGAAGAAGAAGAAGAAGAAGAAGAAGAAGAAGAAGAAATAGAAGAAGAAGAAGAAGAAGAAGAAGAAGAAGAAGAAGAAGAAGAAGAAGAAGAAGAAGAAGAAGAAGCAGAAGAAGAAGAAGAAAAAGAAGAAGAAGAAGAAGAAAAAGGAGGAGGAGAAAGCCGAGAAGAAGAAGATGAAAGAGGAGGAAAAGAAGGGGGAGGAGAAGAAGAAGAATTATGAGGAGGGGTAGGAGAACGAGAAAGATAAAGGGAATGATTGAAGCTAATAGACAAGAGAACTGCTACTAACTTGATGCAAACTTGAGATGTCTGCAGGGCCTCTGATGTTCTAGCTACAGCCCAGCCGCACATAAACAAACTCCTCACAGACAAGAGTGACCAAGGATAGTTCTATGTGGTGTGGTTGTGCAAGTAACTTCAGAAACTGAAAATTCCGTTTGTTTTTGGTTTTCACTGGATGTGTAAAGTGTATACTTCGTTTCGGAGTTTGTAGTTATTTTTGTGTAGTTCTCTTCTTGTTTAACAGAAGCTGCCTGGCCGAAACGTTACGTTATTTATGTTGTTTTGTGCATGTTTTTCTGCTTTCTCCATTTAGAATTTCTAGTATTAGCTTGACTGCAGTCACCCCCAGATGTAGTTTTACAGAAGAATCCTTAGAATTCCTTGGACAGCAAAGAGAAGTAACTCAGATGTTTTGAAAGATGGAGGTGCACGAAGACAACTTATCACAAACATCAGAAAGAGACAGCCAGAATTTTTTGGGATATGTAATAAAAAGAGGGGAGATGGGACATTGTGTAACCACTGGAAAATTTGTGGAAAGAGAGGCAGAAGAAGACAGCGCTAGAAAACCTATGATAACCTTTTTGCCATGGGGTGGAGAAGTTTCAACACACGAACTGATAACACGCATTTGCGGATCGCAGATTGTGGAGAGGCATGATCGCTTACTGCAGTCAACTAGTTCATTTCCTTGTGGGATGCAATTTCTCGTTATTCTGAAGCCCCACTCTGGTTCTTGCAAGGGGCCGCAATATATATAGCCCGGCCATAAATATGGCAATTACTGCTGAGAGGGGTTTCTTGGACCTCTCCACGGGTGATCCTCATCCGCATGGTGGCACTTTGTGTCACCGGGTTGTTCTCGCTTGTGTGATGTTCTGGTGGGGTACAACAAGAGAGAGAGAGAGAGAGAGAGAGAGGGAGAGAGAGAGAGAGAGAGAGAGAGAGAGAGAGAGAGAAAGAGAGAGAGAGAGGAGGGGGGAGGAAGGGAGAACTGTGGCCCGCAGGCGAAAACTGGTCCGTCAAGCAATTTTTATTTGCCCTCAAACAATTTTTACTGCCCAGCGATGATGGTGTAAAAAAGCATTATAATTTTGCCTCTAAGCTCACAAACCGCAGAATACAAAAACATTCGTTCATATGCAACGGGGGGAGGGGGCGGGGGCAAACAACAAAATATCAACTGATAACCCAAACAGTGATTGATATCCAGAAACAGATGTCGCGCAAACCGTTGATCCAGCTAATGACGCACGTGTTGTGAACAAACTCAGACATGAGAGGGTGGTGTCTGTCCGTGGACAGAAAAAAAAATTAGGTGATGGTCGTTCTGTTTCGGTTGTCGACAAGACTAAAAGATCAAAAAGAGGGCGGTAGCTTTCTTTGTGGCCTGCCACCATTTGATGATGCTAAATTTAGCCCGTGGGAAAGAAATACAAACTTACCTATGAATGCTGAAGAAGAAGAAGAAAACTCAGAAACTAGCTACTAAGGTGCAATAAATACGAAGTGAACAAAACTATAAGTTATGTCACATACAACACTAGTGCCCATTTGGGGCTGGGTCGACATAGGAGCTAGCGTCATTTTTTTTTATATGGCTCCGTCATGATCTCAACCCATGGCCGTCAGATCCACAGGCGAGAGTCTGACTGCTACACCACCGCGTCTTTCTTAAGTGCACGTGTGTTTACAAATACGTATGTGAGTGTGTGTGTGTGTGTGTGTGTGTGTGCAAACATGTATACCTGCATTCCCACATGGGCGTGCGTGCGGGTATGTATGCATGTATAGTTAGTTGAATATCCTTTACAGAACAACCCCATGCATTTTTGGGCTGTTGTGGTTTTTCTAGACACCACTGTGGAAACCTACGCAAGGCACAAGACCGGCATCTGGGATCGAACCCGTTACCCCGGCACTACGAAGCGCGTATGCAACGCCCAAGCCACAGACGCAGTGTATATGCAAAAACGTATACGTGCATTCTCAAGTGGGCGTGCAGACGAATGTATGCTATGTATGCATGTGTGTATGTGTATGTTTGTGTGTGTGTGTATATATATATATAAATATATATATATATATATATATATATATATATATAT